AGGGTACAGAAGCACAGCCCTATGCTGATTTTCTACAATGCAAACTGAGGCAGAAGATACACTTTCTTCATGGCAATGAGGAATCTACATTATAGACTGAAAACTGGCATTGAAGACATCACGATGATGTAAAGAAGAAGGAAACTCTGCCTCCACCTTTTCCTCCACCACATCTCCAGGTAGTAGCAGAGCTGTCCCAGGAGCTCATCCCACACTAGCTGGGCTATGCCAGTCATCGGGTTGCTGTGAAACTGTTGTACACAGGAACCCCACAGCCTCCTTCCTACAGGAAAGAAGTCTGGCTGCCAGTTATCTAAGTTACATGCAGTCAGGGACAAATTTTTTATGATACAAAGAAGTTTTTTGAACGAGTATATAAGGTTTCGTTTCTACTTCTTCAAGAAGAAAAATATATAAAAGATTTTATAAGAAACTAGCTCAAATGAATAAATGTTCATACACTGACATTATTTATTAATTCATTTAGAATAATGAAAAGTAACATCACAGAGAAAATTAAGATGCTCACTGTCTGGCTCTCATTTACATCATGGAAATCTCAACCCAACTGGCCAAATCAGAAAGGAAAAAGAAGTATGAAGTGTTAACATTATTAATTCTATCAAATACAAGGAGTTTTATGTATATAACATTTCTATAACAGTATAATTAGTATCTTTCGCTGAAGAAAATCTTCATATGTTTGATTTAGCCCAATAATGGATATAGCACCTTTTGATCTATAAGCACGGATTGAATGGGTACAAAATGAAGCACAATTTTAAGTCATACACAGGGCACAAAACTTAATTAGATATAGATTATATCCTCAAATGGTTTTAATGCATTAGGCAAGTTAAGGCATATGCATACATAATTATTAATAATATGAAATGTAATAAATTCTAGAAGAAAGCAAAAATTGTCCTCAGGGGAGGGACAGAGAAGAATGATACCCATAGCTTCTCTAGATGGGCTACAAGACAAAGAGCAGAGGCTTGTGAGCTAGGGGCTTAGTGGAACCAGGAGAGCCTCCTGCTTTCCATATTTCCTGTTCTCAGATAGAGTACATTTAAAGCAGGATCGAGGCCACTTCCATAGTTAGATATAAGGCTTAAAAGATTAGACTTTCCTTGAGGTACACTCTACCAATTTATTAGATTTCACACTAAAGTATAAATAATTAATATACTTTTCTTTAAGAAAAAATTTTATAGAAAGAATAGGAAGAAGGACAGAACTGGGTATCTTAAAGAAGTGATAAAGGGGAAAACAGAGAAAGGAATAAGACACAACGAAAGAGAAACTTCTAAAGACATTTTATCTACTTTGCAACATTGCCTGTAATAAACTCAGGAACAATCTGAGAACCTAGAAACTCTGACAGAGTAACTTTATTTTGGATGCTTGGATATTGTAGTTATGCTCATTAAAGACAGATACACATGTCCAGAAATAAAAATGTTATGACTATGTGTACATAAAAACATTTATATTTATGTGCATGCACATCAATCTTTAAATCACTGAGATTTCTAAAGGTTTAAATGTGAATGCATCTTTGTCTGCTCAGACTAAATATTTATTAAGAAACTGTTTAAAAATTCTTCTGCAAAGACAGCCAGAGTAAGAAAATCTATTCACACAAGAAGGGCTTTCTAAGATGTTCAAGTTCACTGCAAGCTCCCACTATTCTCAAAGGCCCCCTGGAGACATCTAGCAGTTACCAAGTTCCCTTCCATGTGGCATTTCTAAAATCCATGCTATTTTGTATATAGTCTCATACCTTCCCTCCCTGCTCCTGGAGAGCTTAATCTGTTAGTTACTTGTCTCTCAGTGTTGCCAACCATACCAGAAGCATGTGTTCTTACTGTTCCTCATGTCATAACTTCCCCAATGCCCCTCAGGCATGTAAGCTGGTACAAACAAACTCATTATTTTTCTTTTTAAAACAAACCTACCTGCCTCCTACAGACTTGGTTGCAGTATATGGTGTCTCAGTCTGGCTGACACCCAAGCTAGAATCCCAGTGGTCATACCAGCTCACCCCCCTTGCAAGCCTCCAACTCATTCAATCACTAAATCCTTCTAACTCTACCTAGAAAAAGGCTTTCTACTATACGCCTCACTTTTTTTCCTACTACCCTTGCCTTAGTTTATTTGGAACCTCATAGTCTCTCACAAGGACTATTATGTGTCACACCCCAGCTTCCAGACTCTTCATCCTTCCCTCCTTCTCTCTTTTACATCATAACCAGAGTTATTCTTTCTGTGACCCAATCATGACCACATAACCTTGGCTTTACAAATTCCTCTGCTACCTCCTGGCTGCATAGTCTATGGCTGAAGCTCAAGCTCCTTAGTTGGACATCCTAAGCCATCTACAATTTTTTCAAAATACTGGTCCAGCTTTAAATTTCACCATTCTGACACATACACACTTTACATTACTACTAGACTGAATGTTTTCCCTTCTATTAAAATGTTGTACGTGAATTTTGGAATCCCCCATCCAGACACACTTCTCTCATGCTCTCTGTGGTAAAAATACCTTTCCCTCTACTCTTTCATTGAGAAATTCTTAGTAATTATGCATTACTAGATCAATATGACCTCCTTCTTTTATGAACTAAGTTTTGTATCCATCCAAAATTCCCATATTAAAACTTGAGTTCCCAATGCAATGGTATTCAAAGGTGGGGGCTTTGGAAGGTAATTGGGGTATGGGGTATCCATAGTGAACAAGATCAGTACTCTTCTGAGATGAGCTATCTCTCAGCCACATGAGAACATATCAAGAAAGTGTCTGTTTATAAGCCCTAAAGTGAGTCTTCAACAAACACCAGATTCAGAGCCCCCAGTCTGAAGAACAGTGAAAAATAAATGTTTGTTCTTTAAGCCAGTCCGGTTTAAGGACTTAATACCAGTTTAAGGTATTTTTACCCTTAGCTCGAGCAGACTAAGACACTTCCCACTTCTCTCCCTCAAATTAATTGTACCATTTATTTTGCTTTATCCATAGTTCTCTTACCACTCTTAATGTGTCAGTGCATCCTGGTTCTTTTCTAGCTTTATAAAAAAGTATGGGTGTAAGAACTAACACATGATATAGCAGTAAATTACCAACATATGCTACTGGGAATCATTAGTGTTTATATAAACAAACTGTGATTCAGTGCTTACAAGGTCTTAGAAGAGTAAACTGCTTCCTGGATGAAATTCGAGCTTGCTCTTTTTAAGGAAGACTTTAGAAAACATTCATCTCTTGGGAATTTGATCACATGTATCGTTTGGAAGACTAAGAGATAAGTTACACCAAGAGGTAGTCTGTGTTTAGAGGGTGGGCCACATGAGGCCAAGGACAGTTATGTACATGACCCAACACAAAACTGTAAGCTTACTTAAAACATTATAAGGGTTTTTTGTTTGTTTGTTTGTTTTGTAATGCAATTGTGTGGTTCTCAAGAGTGGATTTTTGTAGATGGCAACAGTGTCATGCCACAATGTCAAAAGGACACCCTTGGCTGTACGTTATTGTTTATAATTTACTTTAAAATGCTCTGTGTAGACCAGGGTGAGGGAAACCTTGTGGGCTAAATCTTAGTCTCCATCTGCTATTGTAAATAAGTTAGATTTTGTATTGTTTGGTTGCTAAAGATTGAAAACATACTCTGCTACTGATCCAAACCCCCATGCTTTGCTAAATAAGTTTTATTACATCACAGTTATATTTATTCATTTAAGTATTTTCTGACTACTTTTACACTTCAAAGACAGAGTTGAATAATTAAAATGGAAATTCTATAACCTATCAGTCAAAGGTATTCAGTATATGATGCTTTACATAAGTGGGGGGAGATGTTCTACCTCTGGTAAATATCTGGTGGTATAAATGTTCATGTTGATTTCAAAACAATCCAGGGACAATCTGTTACCCTAATGGAAATATTCAATTTGAGCCAGTATTTCAATATATTGACATATTCCAGAGAGCTTTCTGCCCTTTCTGAATGTGAGTTCTGCAGTCTGTGCTCTTAGGGATGGCATCCTAGGCCTGATTCCTCAATAAGCCTAGGTCTAACTCCTGATCCTGATGTCTCTTGGGATCCTATCCTATCCAGACAATTAGCTGAATCACGGTGCTAGAATATTGTTGCACCTGCTCGTGATGACTGGCATTAATGAAGTTTTCACAAAAGGACAGTGCAAAGGCTTCACTGAAATTAAAGAACAGTAGCATAGCTGTGTACCTGCTCCCTAAAGGATGCACATATGAATAACAGAAATGGGTCTACACTGACTTTAGCTGTAACTTGGTGAGGAAGACTGAAGTGTTTCCTCACTGGTAACTAGGGAAGGCTCCCCAGTTTTCACCTGTAATCTTACTGGTTTAAGTCAGTTCCAAGAAGAGAAAGACAGTAACATTTGTCTATATCATTCAGGAGGCAGTTATCCTCACTGGGAAGCCCCAACACAAAGCACCCAACTTGCACTGTGTGCATGTAGTCCCCCCCACCCCCATTCTATGCACAGAAGTAGGAAGCTTAATGGACATGAGCATGGTATATAGTGCAGGAGGTTGGCACTCAGTCGCACACAAACATTGGAAAAAAACTGAGAGGGAACAAATGCACCATTTAATGAATGAGTGACAGTCGTAGCCTGGTAGGAGCAAATATGTAAAGCATATTAAGAAGGTCAATTCAAATAATGTAGTATTAATCCATTCTAGTGCACATGGTTACCAAATTATATTGTTTTCAACTTTTAATAAATTATTATCAAATACGGAAAAATGTTTTAAATCCTTTATTCATGTTTATAAGTCCCAGAGCTATTTCAGAAAAGGAAATCTAGGCTTAAGATCATAAGACTTGGAGCCAAGGACCTAAAAAGACACATAGCCCAGATGATTCTGATCAGGCAGGGCAGGGACAATGTCTCCAATATAAAACAAATAGATTACACCACCTAAGCACAAAAAGTAAGCAGTCACTTACCGACTCAGAAATTTCATTCATAGGTTCTGGAGTGGGTGTACTGAGCTCTTGCCCCTGCATCCCAAATTCAGGCTGGAGGGATGATGATCCAAATACTTGAATGAGATAGGAATCAAAATCCTCACAAATTTTTTTAGACAACTTTTGCTTCAGAGTATCTTTTGAAAGAGAAACAGAAAATGGAAGTAATGGAAGCAGCAAACCTTTACTTAATACCTATTTAAGAGACCGGCACTTTCCTTAAAAAAAATCACTTTCCCATTATCTGAAATCAACCACTAAGTGAACTAATGTAGAAAGCATTTTTATGCTATCTGTAAAAGATTACCTAACAATCACTTTATTTTTTAATATTTTATTTATTATTTTTATGTGTATGTGTATATTGCCTGCATGTAGGTGAGTGCACCTGTGTCATGCAATGCCCACGGAGGACAGAAGAGGCTGTCAGATACCCTGGAACTGGAGTTATGGACAGTTGTTAGCTGCCATGTGGGTGCTGGGATTCAAACCCGGGTCTTTTGCAAGAACAGTCAGTGTTCTTAACTGCTGAGCCATCTCTCCAGCCCCAAAATCACTTTATTTAATAATACACAATGGCACAAGAGGAAAAAGTAACTTAAATGCTTGTTATCCAAGGGCCAGTTAGCTGAGTTAGTCTATGGAAAGGGCTAGCCTCCTTACATTAAGTAACTAGGCAATCATTTTTTGTTTTAGGGCTAATAAAGGCCAGTTAGTCCAAAAATATATTCCTCATTGTTTCAACAAATTATAAACTCTGCCAGATAGGATGATAAAGCTCTTCAATTATAAAAACAGAACCTTTTTCTCAAATGTGTAATACATCTGGCCATTTTAACACTTAAATGGCCCAGTTAGACTGAAAACATCATATGAACACACCTATTATCCACCTCAACAGTGAGAATATGGAGTGGAATTCTCTGGAGAGGGAAAGAAATAGAAAACTAAAGCTTTCTGAGTATGGCAAGTTACCCTAGGTCTGGTGGTTCTGGTACCTGAATACACGGCCTAAGGTAGTGAGTTTCTGTGCCATATAAGGCCTCATTCCGAGGTGGGTAGAAGAAGATAGATGAGAAACTGAAGCCTACAGCCATATGAGGCATAACTTTGATTTCACAGGCTTGCCATGTCTGGGCCCTGCCAAAATGAATCATCAGTTTCCAAAGAATTAGAATATATTTACTTTTGTAAAGGATACTGACCATAACTGAAATAGAGACAAGTCAGTTTATTAGACTGCCCCATGTAAGTATCAGTTAATAAGAAAGGATACAGTTAGCACAGGCATTCTCACAAGATTAGTCTTAGTGTGAGCTATATCCAAAAGGCCATTCTTTAAGATAAACTGCCAACATAAGACCAGAAACATGACCTCTAATCCTAGTTGCTTGTGCTTCTCATCACTTTGGACCAATAGACTTTATCATCAAATATTCTTTATTTTATTTTGATTCTAGGGTTGTTTTCTGCTTTTTCTTTTGACTTTCTCTGTCCATTATTCTAGTTAGGCAACCTTCTAAACATTAACTAATAGTAACCATATCCCAGGTCCCATGCTTTCTCTTCATTTCTGTCCACTGGCCATAAATATTCCAGTTAAATAATGCTACAGTCAACTCAGCACTTACTACACATAAACAAAGACAGAACTGTGCCTTCCAAACTCAGTGTCATGAACCCTATTATTTAACCTTCTGTACTGTATGAGTTACAATTTAATGTTGGCATAAGCCTCTTTAACCTCCTGATTTCTATTTTTTTGTCAGGATAGCCTAGTGGTATGGTGCTGGTAAAAATAACATAAATTCTTTTCTCCTGGGGCAGACAGCCTTACCTTGTAGGGTAAAGAAGTCATCAAATTGATAAACGTGCTCTGGGTCAGTAGCAATGAGATTCATTTCTTTGTGGAACATTTCAAAGTTGGGGTCATCTCTCTTCACTACCCCAATCACAAAGATCTCCACTTTGGAATCATTGGCATCCTTCACCACGTCTACCAGTTTCTTTTTATCCCGAGAATCTGTCTGTCCATCGGTGATCACCAAGGCCACCTTCTTCACACCTGGCCTTGCCTCCTTGAACATGTCATTGGCTGCTTGAAGGGCAGTAGCTGTGTAGGTGCCTTCTCCCAGATACTGCATGTTGTCTACCACTAACTTGAAGTCATCCTTGCTGGAGAACTGCTTCAGGCTAGCCACCTTCTCCACTTTGTGGCTGTAGTTGATTATGCCTATGCGAGCCGTAGCAAGGTCCAGTGCCACCCGGTCAGCCAGAGTCTTCACAAAATTTTGGATGATCTCAAAGTTCTCTGGTCCCACACTTTCTGAACTGTCAATCACAAAAACCAACTCCAGTGGAGTTTCTTTGCATTTGGGCCCACATCCTAAAAGATGAGATTGTACATGGAAGAATGAAAACCAAACCATCATGCATTAGCACTGAATCCAGAGGAGAGGGGAAGACGATGAGGATGAACCAACAACTTCAACTATGAGCTTCCTTTCCTGTTTGGTAGAAACTGCTGATAACTGTCTCTTTCTGAATTCCATACCTGACTCTCTCTCTCTGTCTCTCTGTCTCTCTGTCTCTGTCTCTATATAGATTGGGGTATAAAAAAACACAAAAAACCACACACATATATATATATATATACACACACACACACACACATATATATATATATGAGTGGTTTTATGTAGCACTTTCCTCCAAATTGAAGCATTCCAACTCAGAGGGAAGTTCTGAAAGGAATTTCATTAAGACTTGGGAAATAACTCAGAAGTCTCAAGAAGGACCTGAAATTTACCAGATTCACAAGGCTCCTCCCTCCGGAGGTTATAGGAGCAATAAGAACTGCTGAAGAGAGGAGACTCTCTGACCTGCTGAGCTGCCTGCAAGACACGCACAGAGCTTTGAGGCTGCAGCATTTGTGAGTCAGCACCCAAGCATGTGTGGGCTTTTGGGATGCAGCTGTCTTTGAGTCACTTCTGCTCCTATAAGTAACTCCTCCCTATACTTCTGTATGTAACCCCAATAAACTCTTTGCTTCATAAGTTGGATTCCAGTGGTATCATTGCTTTTGTCTGTCATCAGTTTCCTATTGGCAGTGAACATACCTTTGTTCACATTTCCCCTAGTGTCACACAATAAGAGGGTAGAGTCACAGTATAGCAGGTAAGAAATACTGGAGTTCTGAACAGTTGTTAGCCACCATATGGGTCCTGGAATTCAAACCCAGGTCTTCTGCAAGAACAGCCAGTGCTCTTAACCACTGAGCCATCTCTCCAGCCCCTCCACCGTTTGTATAAATCTACATCTCACCCATATCTTTAAATGAAACTGGAAATTTGCTCACTGGCATGCCCAATGGATGAAGCAATGAGATGAAAATAACCACTGAGCCATCTCTCCAGCCCCTCCACCGTTTGTATAAATCTACATCTAAAAATTTGTATTTTAGCTCTCACCCATATCTTTAAATGAAACTGGAAATTTGCTCACTGGCATACCCAATGGATGAAGCAATGAGATGAAAACGTTTAATTGAGGGAAAAATTAGGGCTTTAGATGGCACACAAAATAGTTTTTGTAGGCTATGGCCCTGACCACCCACAAGGAGGATCATTAGGGCTTTGATGCTATCAAAGAGGGCAGTAATCCATCTATATATGAACCTTTTGACGAGAACGATTCCAGAGACTATCAGTCAATAAACAACTACTCAGAGCTAGAGTCCCCTGGAAGCCATGTCTAAATTGTCCTTTCACTAGAAAAGGTCTTGAGTTGGTTCTTATGCCCAGACACCTTTTAGGAGACAAAGTAGTTGTGGCATTCCCTGGAGACACATAATACTCCTGCCTCCCTTCACTTTCAATACAGAAAGTCTCTCACATCATTATCCCATTAATTCTACCTTTGGCTAATCTCTTCTTCCTCTCTCTAGGAACTCTATTTTAAAATAGTCTAAAGTGTCCAGACGTGGGAAAATTTAGATATAGTTGTGAAACAAGACGAACCCCTTAATGTCCTCCTTCTCGCCCATGAGATGGATTGCAGCTGTAAAACTCATGCTCAAAATTCAATTTGGAAACACTTCCTGGCTTAAGGACAAACGCATTATAATCATCAGCTAGACTCTAGGTACCAGTTGGGCTCTTACAGTTAAATTTCCTTAGTGGTAATTTTCTTCCCAAGCTCAGGTAAGTCACTGACTACAAATGAGGACAGTGCTTACAAAGGCCCAGCTGCCCACACTCTGGTGCCTCACACTCCCCAGACAGCCAGAGAAAACGATGTGTTTTCTTGCATCTGGGTCCTGCAGCCTCTCACTGCTTCCTCTCGGTTTCCAACTAACTTTTCAGATGAGCATCACATTTCCCCACCAACTGTATAGTACACATCTTCTGAGTGAACACAGCTCACCAATCTAGCACATAGTGGGGCTGATATTGTTAAAGAATATTTCATTTTCTTACAATTAAATCTTACCACATATTTCAATAATAAGTTTGATAATTTCTTCTTTCTGGGAGGAAAAAGGAAAATGTATTAACATTAAATTTATGACTACAGTATTTTTTTCTATAATTACAAGAAATGTGTCTTATAATCAGCATTGGACCATTTGATTTAATCCTTCCATTGGAGAAAATTAATTAAATAGCACAAAAGTTGAAAGTTGGATACAATGTGTCATAACGGAAATGAGGCAGCAGAGTGAAACTTAATAGCTCAGACTTTGGGATCCCTGATTGTAATTCCAGCACACACAGCTGTGTGACCTGGACTATTAGATGACTAACAGTTTCTGGTCTCTGGGTGATGGTGCAGGTTATTTGGGATGAATGTGCACAGACCCTCAGCACGATCTATCCCCACCAAAGACTACCTACAGCATTGTAATGCCAATAAATAGCAGGAAACTGAGGAGGGAACTTTGAAAATGGAGATTTGGAACAGAAAAAGAGGAGCAGAGAATCCTCTTTAGGCCTCTGCTCTTGCCTTAGCTCTCAGCATGCTGTCTAAATGCAAATCCTCAATTTTTGAAGTCCCCTCCTCCGCTCCCTGGTATTTATTGTCTTTGGATCCTGATGAAATGTCTTTGTGTTTATACATGCCCTTTTCTTGGCCTGTTGTCTGTCTGCTCCATCAGACATGCCCAAGATGAGTGGGCTCCTGGAGTCAGTCTACCAATGTCCCATCCTGTGTAGCATGTTTACACTGACTAGATAGGACAGAAGGCCAGAGTCTGTGTTGGTTAAAGACACAGGGCTGAAAATGATGATTAACAGAAGCTTAGATCTCTACAGGAAAGGGCAGTGGACCCAATCTAAGAAGATAAAACTTAACAGAGCAGAGAGAAGGTCTAAAGAACAAATCTTTAATGACAGAATTGGGGTGGGGTCTGGCTTAGCAGCAGCATGTATCAAAACTGTTAAGGTTATTTTAATCTAACAATATTTTCATTGCAAACTGAACAAAAATACAATGAATGCTTTCTATTGAGTATTTGAAAAGAACTTTCAATATGATGCAGAGTTACGCTAATTAAATAATGTAAGACTGAGTCAGTAGCCATCTTTCTTCTTCAGAACTTGTCATATTTTTCTTTTCTATATATTTAATTCCACATATTTAATATATGGAAAAGTATTTAATAATTCTGAAACTAGAATAGTGAAAGGTAAGAGGTATATGTTTATGTTAAGTATATTTAGAAAGGAGAAATGTAAGCATTTATGTTTGATTTTGGTTTATTTGAGACAGAGTCTCACCATGTAGCTATAATAGCCTGGAACTCAAGACAGTTCTGCTTCAGCCTCAGTGCCGGGATTATAGGCGTTCACCACCACATACAGTTTTATGTTTAATTTTTCATATGTAAAAAAAAACTCTAAGTCGTTTTGTTATTCTATTTTTTCACCTAAAATTATATCATAATTTGTTTTTCACATCATTAATGATTCTGAAAAGCTTGATCAGAGTCATGGTCATTTTTAAGGTCCTTTGACCAGAAAACTTATGTGAACTAATACCTCCCAAAGTCATATAGAAGAAAAGCTGTTTTGTTTTGGACACAATACTGGTTATTATTACTACATAATCGTATGCTATTTGGTGAATAAAGGGAGTCAATGAGCTGAATGTGGTGGCACATGCCTTTAATCTGTGTGAGACCAAGGCCAGCCTGGTCTACAGAGCAATGAACAACTGAAAGAAAGAATTGGGGAAAGGAGTTTGAGGTGGCAAATGATGGTGGAGCCTCTGAGCTATGGAGGCATGGAAGAAGGCCAGGTAGGGTTCATTAAGGTGACTGGGCCCTGGTTAGTCTGTTGCATCCCTGGGCCATCTAGCCAGAGATGCTCAGTTTGCAGTGATATGTAAGTTCTGGTATCAGAACAGTGGTCCAAACTGTAGGCAGATTTAAGAAACGCTGTTGTACAAATGACTATTTAAACAGGGACCACAGAATTGGTTTCCCTAGACACAAAAACAAGAACTTTCAGACTTAAATTTTTTAAATTATTGATTATTATTATTCATATGTATGTATGATGGGGGGAGGGCGCATTCATGCCACAGTGCACATGGGGAGGTCAGAGGACAACTATGTGCAGTTGGTTCTCACCTTCCACCTTTATATGATTTCCGAGGATTGAACTCAGGTTATCAAGCTTGTGTTGTCAGTCAGAAAGCATCATTAGCTGCTGATCCATCTCACCAGCCCTCTTTCAGCCTTTTATAAACCACCATCAATTTTAGTTTATTTTTTCTATATAGCAAAGCAATATCTTTTTACTTACCATATGATTTACTGTGTTATTCAATTAGTCTTTCACACTGTACATCCTCTTGCCTTTAACAGCTATCTCTCCGTGAGAGTTTGAAGATGGGGAAGAGATGACAGAGGGCAAACACTGGGAAATGCTACACTAAAAGGCCAAGTGGAGGAACTGAGGTTTTTTTTATAGCATTTATGGCTAATGCAGAGGCTCATAACTGGTCAAAGTGCTAACAATAGTGATAGTGGAGTGCTCAGCCCTAAACAGGACATCTATATCACTTCCTCAGGGAATATCACAGAAGAGAGGGTGGCAAAAATGCAAGAGTTGAGGATAAGGTGGTGTGCCCACAAAAGGCGTCCCCTGGGCAAAACAGAACCATTGCACTCATGAACTCACTGCAGCTGTGGTTACCTGCACAAGACCTGCCGGAGATTTATTGTGGAGTGGGCAGGGGCACATGTGACCTCACTCCCTCCTGAAGGACTATCAGCAATTAGTGGATGCAGGGATCATTTTTGTCAGTGGTAGACCCACCGAAAAGTAGCCCGTGCTCCAGTAAATAGCCTCCCATCGATGCTCATGGAAGCAACCCTAATCAATTCAATGACACACACACACACACACACACACACACACACACACCATGAAAGTTGGAAGAGGAACTCCTTAGGAAGAAAAAGGATTTTGCCAGAATAGGTAGGAGGGATGAGAGAAATTATTAAAATACACTATAAATGGGTATGAAGCTGTCAAAGAATGAATAGTTTCGTTTATTTATTATTTTTATTTTATGTGTATGCATGTATTGCTTGCATATATGTAAGTACACCGTGTCGTGCACTGCCTGCAGAGGACAGAAGAGGCTGTTGGATCCCGTGGAACTGGAATTATGGACAGTTGTTAGTTGCCATGTGGGTGCTGGGATTCAAACCCAGGTCTTCTGTAAGAACAGCCAGTGTTCTTACTGCTGAGCAACCTCAGCAACCTCTTGCTCCAAATATTACCACACATTCTTTTGTCTGCTCTGGACTCTCCCCAACACACACCACACACACACACACACACACACACACACACACACACAATTCTTTTATCAAAAATATTTATCACATGTTGGGTGAAAACCTTTTGCCTCTTTCTCCTGAATTCAAGAACATAGTCTCCTATTTTCCATAGCACATATCTATGAGCCTGGCCATAGTAAATACCCAGGGAATGTTGGTGAGATGAATGACTACATGGGCAAATGAAGGAAGGAAGACAGTCTTGGCCCCCATGTTGGGATAGCAAGGCAGGCATCAAGCTATGAGGATGGGGAATGTTCCGTCCATCATTCACATATGTGCTCTCCCTTACAACTCTGAGTGGTTAACTGCTGCATCCATGGCTGCTTAATTCACTGTAGATATCTTTGGGGATCTGATCGGTGGCAGAAAACAACAGAAAGAGGCCAGACACACGTGCAGTTCTTGTCATATGCTGGATTTCAGCTCTTGTCATGACCATTTGAACTCTCTCCCTCTCACACCTGGACCTTCCTGGCACAGTACATAAGATCAGCATCCCAAATGATGATGGAAGGAAATACCATAAAAGGGAAAAAAAATCTAGAGGGAATGAAGCACCTTCAACTCAGAAAGGAGCTTGAGTTTGCTGTGAAAATTCTAGAACTTTCCCTCCCATTAGAAAATTTAAAATCATGGTTTTGTTTTTAATAGTGTAGGAAAGCCTTTGTAGAAATTTCATAAATCTTTGTTGAATAGGTAAACACAGTTCCAGTTTTGTGGTGACTATTCTCAGAATACTTCCTTAAGGAAGGAACTAGTTCAGGAAAAAGAGCCCCATCCTGAAGTGAGAAAAGCCACATAAAGCAAAAGGTCATTTGGCCAAAGATCACTTCCTTATTGCCAATAACAGCAGCACGATCATTTCTACCAGAGGGCAGAAGGGAACAATTCCACACCTCCACATGCAGCTATGTAAAGCTGCCTGGTGTCATTTCTCTTCTCATTCAGACTCAATTACCTCATGTACCCAAGTCAGCACTGGTGGGGCAGCAGGTACCATCATTTAAAAAGAACAACCCAGCATCCAAAGAATTCATAATTCTAGAGCTAAAGCATGAATACAATAATTTTGCAGGCACAGACCCCTCAATTACCCTCTAGAACAGATACTCACTGTAAGTCCTAGGTCTCCTTTTGGTCCTTGTAACCCCTACTTAGTGGAAGAAGAGTAAGTAAATATGGGCTGGACCCAGTGGAGAGTATAAAGTCAGAGTGAGGTTTTAAAAGCACTTCTTGCCTGTTTTCCTGGAGACCCGGGCTCTCCAGTTTCCCCCTTTTCACCTTTCTTTCCCATATCACCACGTTCTCCATGCTCTCCCTATGTATTATGGTAAAAAGAGAAACTTAAAATGCGAATATTAAAGCCAAATAGGAGAAATTACAACTTAGTTGGTTTGCAACTAGAAACCCCTCAAAGACTTGGGCTGGAGTTCTTGTTGACATAAGCACACAACAGGAAACAAAATCGTTTATACTTAAGAGGTTTAGAGATACCCTCTAATTTCACTGTCTTCAGAAAACTCAGTTATTGTATAATGAATCAGATTCCTGAGGTAGCCAACATCTCCTACATGTGTGTTGTAAGGATTGATTCCTTTATTGGCTCCCTTCGAAGAATGAAGGAAAGGAGATGTTATAAAGTGAATACATTTGGAGGTAGAAAAGCCAGTTGTGAAGGCTCCATTGTGGATGGGTTTCTGTGTATGGTAAGGAGAAGCAAGGCATATGAGAGCTCTGCCAAAGTTACCTCTAAGCAACTGAGACCTTGAGCCTAAGCATTCCTCTAAGATCCTGAAATACTTACCTTCTGACCTGGGAGACCATGGCCCATCATACCCTTTGGCCCTGGAAAACCTTGAGGTCCTTGTTCCCCCTATGTGAGATACAAGAAAGGGTGTTCTTATTAATTTATCAGGATGACTCAGAATATTGAAGGAGTTAGAAACTCACAGCTTCCAAATTGCATTACAACATGATCTAAATTTTGAGAGATGATGTAGATCATATAATTAGAAATATAGATACAGATACAGAAAGAGATGTATAGGCTCTGTGGTTTGCTAGAGTTTCCAAGGTTTAAGTACCCTTACCTTGGTGAATCTCAAACTATGAACATAATAACCAATTCACAAATATCTTTTACTTTAATTTACCCTCATATATTCATTTATTATTAATATGTTAAAAGCATACATTAATAATGGGGAGAAATGGGACTGAAGAGATGGTTCAGTGGTTAAGAGCACTGGCTGCTCTTGCAGACGACCTGAGTTCTATTCCCAGCATCTACATGATGGCTAACAACCATCCATAAATAAAGTTTCAGGGGAATCCGAAGCCCTCTTCTGACCTCTGATGGCATTGCACAACACAAGTGCATTTAACATACATGTAAGCAATACATTCATACACATAAAATAAAAAAAATAAAATAAATAAAATGTTTTTAAAAATAATAATGGGGAGAAAGAAAATAAAACAGTATTTCCCTCCAATTAAGGCTAAGGAACTGTTTATATAATTCACTATAACTTGTTAGTTCCATCTCTTATCATTTATAGCAGCATACAGAACTTGTTTTTTTCCCACCACCACATCACTTGCCTGCTAAATCCATAAATGGACAAAAAATTTTGTAATATAGAATAAGAAATAGAAGAAATCAGTAGTCAATATACAAAGTTACAGTAATTATGCTCCTAGAATTCTATACTAAATCCACTTAACTCTGGATCAGTCAGTGATGAGTCTGTGGAAAAGACTTCAAAGACCCTGAATTCCCAGAACTGTTCCATTTCCCTTCTGTCATATTCTCAAAAGTATCCTAACCAACCCCAGCAGAATCACCAGCTCACACAATTCCAATATTCCAGCCCAGCCTCAGACTATCTTAATGAGAATCATGGGTAGAAATAGTGGTAAAATATCCATATGATCACAAGTCAAAGTCTCACAGCAAATTGGTGCAACTGAACTCCAGTAGTTCTTTTTATCCTCTGATGTTGTGCATAAATGAACTATAAGTATAGAATTATATTCTTGACTCCTAAATTCAACACCAGAGGATATAAAGCAAATTCCTTACAGTGATCAGACTTTGAAAACTATTCCCTGAATACCTTTTCACCTTGGTATCCTTGAGCCAAGTGCAATGCTGTGCCATAGTGAGCCCATCAGGCAGAAATACCAATACAGTACTGTAAACTCCAGAGCCCACCTAAGAAGACTCACTCCTGGGGAAAATGTGTTCACTCTATTGGTAGCTGGTCAAAGGGGACAGGTAGGAGTTAATGAGCCTGTTTATTCAGTTTACAATCAAATATGAGTAATGTTTTCTGGCTATGAAATGTGGCTAGGATATTGAAAAGCCCAGAAACCTGCATGAAACTGATGCCAGTTAAATATGCCCTAAACATTAAACCAATCCTTAGAGTCCAAGCTGAACACTCCAGTAGAAGTGAAAAAAATCTCTTTCCAGAGATGGTACTTTTAACATAGGCATTATGGTGATGAGTAGGTAGGAACTGTAGACAGGACACAGACCAACCTCCTTTCACTCACTGGAAAATCGACTCCGGTAGGAGTGGATCTCAGCCTTGTCTAGCAGTTGGGAGGGTCTGTTAATTATACACCATGGCCAATCCACAGAGTAGTATGAAATACCTTAGACATTTGCCTGAAATTCCACTACGCTTTGCTCTAATTAAAAAAGAAGAAAAAAGTATTATGGGGCTGGAGAGATGGCTCAGCTGTTAAGAGCACTGGCTACTCTTACAGAGGACCTGGGTTCAATTCCCAGTACCCACATAGTGGCTAACAACTACTCATAACTCCAGTTCCAGGGGAATTTGACATCCTCTTCTGGCTTCTGAGGGTATTGCATAACACAGGCACACATGCATGCAGGCAATACACTCACACACATAAAATGAAAAAATAATATTTTTAAAAAGAAAAAATTTAAATGTATAGTCTTTAAAAAGATGTCTCAGGAAAGAACACTTTGGTCTGCTCCTCAGTTTTTGTGGATGTGAATGAGGACATTTTTATTAAGGGAATACTTGGTAAGAGAGGTAGCTTGGGGATGCTGAGATGTCTTAGACCACTGGTACCTGGGATGAGAGATCCAGGAGGCCTCCTGTCCAGTTACAGTGAAAACTAAAAGTTCATGGGGGACATTAAGAGGAAACCAATGATTGGCTCTGTCCCTGCCCCAAAAGAGTACAAAAAGCAATGTGAGACTCTGGTGCAAGGGGGAGTCATTGCTAGGAAGTCTACACTTAGGCAGAGGGACCCAGAAGGAGCTCCTTATCTTTCTAACAGTTATACAGAATGGTTGTTTCTTGGACAATATTTCAGATCTCTACAGAAGTTATTATAAAAGTTATATAAAAGGTGTTCAATAAAAGTTTATGATTAACTGTCTTAAAGTGACACAATTTCCCTATAAAGTGAAAAGCCATATCCTAAGGGGGAAATCTCAGAGGAACCAATTATCATATAAGGGCAGTCAGATGCTGGGGAACCTATTTTGCATTGCCTATAATGTAAACATTTTCTATATAACTGTCAATGCAGTAGCTATATCAGGCATCTGGGTTCCTTATCACAAAGGGTTTTTTTCCCTTTGTAAGCATCAGTTACCATTCAGAATACCTGAGGATTTCCTATAACTTTCAGAATAGACTGCCTGGCTAAGTAAGCCCATGCCTTAGGTGGGCAGAGGTGAATGCTATTCAATCAGATTTCCTTCCTTCTGTCTATGTCTCAGGAAAATGGTAAACAATTATTTCTGTATAGATCAGAAAAGGATGGAAAATATAATTAAATTCACATTTCAAACTTAACTTAAATCATTACATCCTGCTTTTAAATATGGTCTGCTAAAAATGGAATAGCTTTAACCTTTCAGATGTTTATTTTCTAGTAAGATTTCTAAGAATAATTCTCAATTTTTTAATTGTTTTCATGACTAACAAGTCAGGGAAACAATAGCTCTTTTTTCTAAATGCTTTTTTCAGTAAATAATAGGAAGAAAAAAAACTATAGATGCTTTAAAAATGTAAAAGAGACATCTGACTCCCGTGAAAAGTATAGGAAAACAAAAAATAAATTCTTCTCTCATTTCTAAAAATGCTAACTAATCTATAAAGTCACAACTTTTCTTGAATCTGTCATGGAGCTGTAGTTGTGGAGCAACTTAGAAAATATTGGATCCCCAAGAAGAGAAAAGACCTGGGCACATGCTTACCTGGTGGAGATGCCAGATGTTATATAAGCTGGTAATTTAGTAACAAATTCCTAAAGGCCAATGCAGGCTGGTGTGAGATGACAGGACCCTTTAGGCACAAAGACAAATCACACCCATCCTCAGGCTGCTCTCTGGGACCTCACCAGAGTTCAAGAGAAAGGCTGGCAGGAGGGGCAGATGAGAGGCTAGAGGATGTTCCTTGTGATACAGGCCTGGGAGGGAGGCAGTAGTCCTAATGTCTTATTCTCCCTGAGTTGCTATAACAAAATACTATAGAATAGTTGGCTCGTAAGCTCAGCAATCTGTTTCTCACAGTTCTAGGGGCTGAGAAATCCTAGTTCATGACAGGGGATGTCTAGTGAGGCCCAGTTTCTGGTTTACAGATGGTGTCTTTTTGTGGTGTCCTCACATGGTAGAAGGTACAAGGCAGTTCTCTGGAGCCCGTTGTAAGAGCTGTGCCTTCTTGATTTAATCACCTTCCAAAGGGCCCACCTCCTAATAACATCACCTTGGGAGTTAGGATGTCAATGTAGGAATTTGGAGTAGGCAGAAATGTTCGGACTGTAACACCCAGGAAAGGCATGACACACCCTTTGGAAAAAATGTCTTAAACTACTGAGGGAAGGGCAGCCAATGTTATTATCTCTAGGGCACAGGTGATAGCTTATGGCAGTTGGAAAAGAGAGGAAATCCACAGCAAGACATTGTGGGAGTAGACATTTAGAGCTGGCCTACTGCTTGGAGACAATGCTTAACCCAGACCAGCAAGGGCTTTCTGCACATTTGCTGCAACACATAGAACTGAGGAAAATTCTATTGTATATAAATAATTTTTCACTAATGAATGAAAAACTCCTCCTTAAAAATTAAAAAGAATTAATGGAATACTTGAAAAAGTTTTGTGATGTCTATAAGTTAGACCACATGATATCAATGATATTTTTCTGATACTTATCATTGTACTGTGTTACATAAGAGAATGTGTCTGCTTGTAGCAGAAAAAAATACTGAAGTTATTTAGGAGTAAAAGTGCCATAACTACAATATACTATCCAGTGTTTCAGAACACATAGCATGAATATGTACACACACATACCCACACATGCTTGGATTTGAAAAATGTGGTGTTGTTAACATTTAACAACTATCAGTAAGGGGCCTACGGGAGTGTTTATACTGTATTTACAACTTTTTAAAGTGTGAAATTATTTCAAAATAAAGGTTAAAGATTGATATATAAAATGAATGGATGAGTGAGAGAATAAATGAATGCACAGTGACACCATCTACCCACACTGGAGCAGCATATGAATCCACAACTACCCAGGATTTGAGAACTCATGGGCCAAATAAACACCTAGAGACTGCAACAACATCCTAGGTGTGGACTGTGTGAATGTGTGTGTACATATGTGTACATGTGTATACATGTGTACATAGAAGCTAGAAGTCATTCTGAAATATCTTTCCTCAAGTGCTTCCTTTTTTTTGAATCAGAGTCTCTCACTGGCCTGATGCTTGACAATTAGGTTAGGCTGACTGGTCGGAGAGCCCCAGGGATCCTCCTGTTTCTGCCTGCCAGAACTAGGAATCAAACTCAGGCCTTCATGCTTATAAGACAA